TGGAGTGCAAGACCCTTAAAAAATAAGGGAATAAAAATACGTTAAAAATGCTCTAACACTTCAAGTGAAACCAAAATAGACAAAATCACGATATATGTATGATAAATAAATTCTGCATAACACTCCAAAAATTCTACTAAACTCTACAGTAAAATTTCTACAATTATAATCCAACCAATCACCCATATATTCATTGGAGATGAGTGGTTGTATTTAGTTGATTTAGTTTTTATCTATAACTATATAAATTATCAATCATACTTTAAATAGTTTTCTAAAGTTTAAGTAAGAAAATAAAATAAAAATATAGGTAAAACAAAAAAAAAATTATCCTAAGATCTCTGTAGGAATTAATATTTTTGTTTCATTAATTTGTATTTAATTTCTACAAATACACTAGATACAGTTATAACAAAAGATTCTATAAACTAAATTCTACGTAATTTTTTTGTACTCCAACCAATAGTCTTCTCGTTATGTTTATGATGAAATTTGTTATATAGGAGATGGAGCAATTGACTTAGTTAGAAAAAAATATTATATTTTTAAATTAAGATCCAAAAAATTCCAAAATAATAAACATTCTGAAACAATATTATATTTTTATTAATTAAAGAAATGTAATTATACTCTTAAAATATTAAACATTTTAATTTTATTCTTGATAGGAAATGTAAGCTTAAATGTAAGTATGATTTGTTTGATTTTGTTTTTTGTTTTTTTTTTTGGAACAAACAGTTGATCTATTACTCAAGCTTGAGGTGGTCTGGGAATTCGATGTGGTTTGAGAATCCAGACCAGAATAGAACAACCAACATACATCAGATCGCGATAGAATCATCGCGCAGTCTTAGCTAAGAAATCGGCAAGACACTCACTCTCTTGTGATGGCACAATTTCTTGCTCATTAGTTTGGAATCATGCAAGACACTCACTCTCCGCATATCGGACTAGCTCCAGAGGATCTCTATCAATTCCTCGGAACAACTTGTCTTTCTGAGCCTTCCAAATGTACCATTTGATTTTGTTTCTATGGGGTTCTACAATTTAAAAATATATTTTTAGTAATACCTTTTTTTTGTTTATAGACAACTTCAGTCTTAGAACTATTAACAAATATTTTATAAATATATTAAGATCCAATATTCTAAATACTAAACATTTTGTAACAATATATTATATTTTTGATTAATTACAGAAATGTAATTATATTCTTAAAATTTACATAGTTTAAATTTAATTTTTATAAAATAAATAATCTATAATAATTTAATTAGTTATATTAACTAATGACTCATATTATTATTTTTAAAGTACACCACTAGTTAAAGTATATAAGTTTTATACTGCTGTACTTGAAACTAGAGGAGCCTGTTGTGCCCCTCACGGTGAAACCCATTTCTTCTCATTGTATCTAATATAAAAAGCACAAAAAGAGATGTACGCTTAAGATTGTGACGTAGCAAGTGAAGAAGCAGCAAAGACAAAAGCACTTTCTTAGCATAGAAGAGAATCAATTACTTCGCTCTTATTATAGAAGCAGGGCCGGCTGAACTATATACTGGGCCCATGGACAAAATTTTTTTCTATGCATTATAATTGATTAATTATAATATTTTGGACCCTTTTGGTACAAAATAAAATAAAAATATAGGCCCTTTTGTTGATAAATTTATTTGGTTTTAAGATGGACCCTATGCATGTGCCCCTCCTGCCTACCCCAAGACCGGTACTGCATAGAAGTGAGGAGGCAGTTCTGATTCCCAATACTGATTGATTAATTCATGGTATGTCTCTACTATATAAATGACTAGGGTCGGATTATCCTACGGGAGGAATATATATTATTTGTGATCTAGATTACTATTTTTTTGTATAATTTTATAGTTTGTGTTTTAAGTTTGCATTTGCAATAGATGTGTTTTAGGCAAAGAAGAGTTTTCTTGCATTCTTATTTTCACAACAAATGGTTTTTAGGAGTTTTAGAGTTGGAGAGAAGATCCAAGGACATTTGTGATTGGAACTCCATTATTATCTATCTATTATTATGCAGTTTATTTACCTTGCTTGTGTTATGAATTACTTAGCCATGTATGAATAGCTCATTTGTTAGGCTTATGGTTTAAATAGGTTAAGGGATTAGTCCCAACTATGAGATTGCTTGTTGTGATATTTATTAATAAAATATTCTTAATGCTTGTTCTAGAATTGTTACCTAGAAACTTGATTTAAAGAGTTTAGATGTTTGAGCAACCTTTAAATAATATTAATTATCCTGAATCTATTATATTAAGCTAAGATTTGCTAGTGTATAGCGAGAGCTTGATCTAAGAGTTTTAGTGGGCATTGTACAACTCGTGCATAAAGCTTAACTAGGAGTGCATCGATCAATATTGCAAAAGGAAAATCGATCGACATAGTGACAAGTGTATCGATCAACATTCGTCTAGAATAATTGATCGACACTGCTATTGATCGAACATACTTGTTTGGGTCAATAGATCTACTTAATAGACTCATTCAGTAAGGCAAACGCTGATGAATTTGTGATCAAGTAGTTGAGCTCTTTAATATCATGCATACAATTGTTTAGCACCTATCAGATTATAATCCATGAATACTTGAATCCCTAAGTCTAGCACCTTTCCAATTAAGTTTCAATCCTCAATCAATTTAGAAGAACAACTACCTTGCTCAATTAGGATTACTACACTGCTCTTTACTTTAATTTCATAAACCAACCTAGTCTTATTTACTTTGTTTAGATTTATTTGGTTCCCTATCTCCTTGTGGATTCGATCTCTAAGTACTACAACTGAACCTCTTATTTGAGAGAGTAAGTCACTCTTTAGAGTAATTTGAGTGATATCAATAAATCAAGATAAACTTGTAATTAACTCGGATACCACTGAAGAATGTCTTCGCGAGTATTTTCAGAGTTTTTGTGAGGTTTTAGAGGTTGTGGTTATTAAGGATCGAGCCACTGACCGTGCTCGTGGCTTTGGTTTCCTTAACTTTTCTGGCCCAAATATTGTTGAGAGAGTTGTGTTGCTCAGACACGTCATTGATGGTAAACATGTAAGTATTTCCTTAACTACTATATTGTTTCAGTATCAATCTGCTTCCTTCAATAACGATTAGTTTGCTTTGTATTAGAGGTTCTTCTCAACAAAGCAAAGCTATTTCTTTATTTTTTTCCGTTTCATAATATTAAACATCATTAAAAAGTCATAAAGAGACCAGAAACAGTACAGCAAAAGACAAAATAATTTATAAAAAAAAAAAATTTGGTCCAACCAGGCCCGGACGACAAAAAAAACTAGAAAAAGACGGCTTCTACTTGCTTACCGTACGTAGATTAGCATAGAGTTTTCGAATTGTAATATATATATATATATATATATAGATTTTCCAATTATTCTCATTTTAATGCCTTTTTTGTTCTGCATCAATTCATTTTTAGCTTACTATTACAATTTTTATGTGAATGATAAATTATACTCCATCTGTTCTTAAATGATCCATATTTTAGAAAAAAAAATTGTTTCTAAAAGATTCATATTTTACATTTTCAATGTATGTAATAATGGTAAATTGTAAACTTCAAAAACATTAATTATGTTTACGGAATTTTGATTGGTTAAAAATCATAGAAAATAGCTAAACACATAAAATAATCACTACAAGAAAACTCGTCCATTACTAGGGCAGGTTTTCCTCGTTAGTTTCTAGTAAATGGCCTTTTACTAGGAACTTACGAGGAAACGCGTTTCGTCGAAACACGTTCATCGTAAAGCCTTTTTCCTCGTAAAGTCATAGTAACCACTTTCCTCGTAATTTCCTAGTAACCATTTTCCTCGTAATTTCCTAGTAACCACTTTTCTCGTAATTTCCTAGTAACCACTTTCCTCGTAATTTTCTAGTAATGCTTTACTAGGAATTTACTTCGAAATGTTTTTCCACTTTCCTCGTAATTTCCTAGTAATGCTTTACTAGGAATATACTTTGAAATATTTGTCCCTATTAAAAAAAATAACTAAAATAAATATCAATAATATATTTAAAAAAATTAAAGAATCCAAATTATAAATAAAAAGAAATAACAAAATATTTTATAAATAACTAAATATTTAAGTATTAAATTCATATACAATTAAAGAGAAAAAAAACTAAACTACGGATGTTGCTCGTTAAAATTGACGAACGAAGTCGTCATCCCGGCTCGATAACTAGTATCATTAATATAATAGTATCATTTAAAAAAAACAGTTAAAAAACTAAATTAACCTAATCTAAATTCCCTAAACTAACCACCTAATCTAAATTCCCTAATCTAACCACCTAATCTAAATTCCCTAAACTAACCACCTAATCTAAATTCCCTAATCTAACCACCTAATCTAAATTCTCTAATCTAACCACCTAAGTAGGAAATAGAGAGAACCTTAAGAGAATTCAGAGAGAAGCTTACTACAAA